TTCAGCGCTGGTTTCATAGCTAAGATCAAAGTGTTGTACAGGGACATTGAGAGTGTGCTGAAGATAAACGGCAGTCTGTGTGCTCCTTTTAGAGTGTATAGAGGAGTCCGGCAGGGTTGTGCTCTGTCCGGGATGCTCTATACACTCTCCCTGGAACCCCTTCTCGGCAAAATACGCTCTAGCCTGGAGGGCTTGGTTTTACCTGGTTTTAGTAGAAGAATGATTTTATCGGCGTATGCCGACGATGTTGTTGTTTTTATTAAAGACCAGAGGGATGCAGACCTTTTAAATAACATCGTGAAACGTTTTAGTAAGGCATCGGCAGCGAGGGTGAACTGGAAAAAAAGTGAAGCCCTCGCTGTCGGTGAATGGCGTGGCGGCCTCCCGGTTCTTCCCCAAAGCCTAGTGTGGAGGAAAGATGGCTTTAAATATCTGGGGATTTATCTAGGACAAGAGAGCATCGTCCAGAAGAACTGGGAGGGCGTCACAGAGAAGATAGAGGGGAAACTTTCCAAATGGAAATGGCTGCTCCCTCAAATGTCTTTTAAAGGTAGAGTTTTGGTTTTAAACAACCTGATTGCATCCCAGCTGTGGCACCGTCTTACCTGCCTGGACCCTCCCTCAGGCTTCCTTGCCAACTTACAGAAGAAAATGGTGGATTTCTTTTGGGGGGGTCTACACTGGGTGCCACAAGGGGTGCTGTTTTTACCCAGAGAGGAGGGGGGACAGGGCCTCGTCCACCTGGCCAGCCGGACGACCACTTTTAGACTCCAGTTTTTACAGAAATATCTCACAGGTCCGGAGTTTTTAGTATGGAGGGACGTGGCCAGCTGCATTTTTAGACGTGCAAACAACCTGGGGATGGATACTGCTCTGTTTTTAATTGATTCTAAATTTTTAAAGTTAAATGGGCTACCTCCGTTTTATCAGGGTGTTTTTAAGTCTTGGGCCCTTTTTAATCATAAAAGGTGCCCACAGTCTTTCTCTCTGTACTGGTTGTTGAGAGAACCTTTGATCTACAGAGCAAGGCTGGACATCAGCAGCAGTGGTACCCCAGGCCTGATGGGGGCGCTGCTGAAAGCACGAGTCCTGTGCCTGCAGCAGCTGGTGGATGCAGTGGGGCCGACGCTGAGCGACGCCCCGGCCCTGGGCTCTCTGCTGGGGCTGCACTCCGTCCGGATGGCGAGGAGGCTCCTGGAGCTGTGGAACCAGAGGCTGACTGAGGAGGAAAGGAGCCACCTCACAGACTACAGCCAGAAAGAGGTGGAGCCGGACCCTGCAAACCCCTTCCCCGAGATCTACCTGAGCCCAGGACTAGGGGAACTCACCGGCCCCCTGCTCGCCACAACACGCCCCGAAGCGCTGACATTGCACGAAGCAGACAAGAAGACTCTGTATTTTAACTGTGTGAAGGGCATAAACCGATCCGGACTGTGCGATGGGCTCCCCACTGTGTGGTCCAACAGACTGGGACAAAATGGACCGGGCCCACAGTGGAGGATTTTATACAAACCTCCCCTCAAGAAACGGACTGCCGACCTCCAGTGGAGAATTTTACACGGTGCTGTCGCCTCCAACGCTTTTATTTCTGTTATTAATCCCACTGTTCTGAGCAAATGCCCCTTCTGCGACCTCCGAGAGACTATTTATCATGTTTTTACAGAGTGCAAGAGACTTACGAGTTTCTTCTCTCTTTTAACATCGGTTTTTAGTCTTTTTAATGTGGTTTTTACTGAAAAGATTTTTATCATGGGAGCTGCCTACAAAAAAGCAGAAAAGAAAAGTGGCAGCTCCTCAACTATCTTTCGGGGGAAGCCAAAATGGCCATTTATCTAAGCAGGAAGGCCAGAGTGAAGGACAGAGAGGGGCAGGAGGTCAGAGCAGTGTGGCTGGTGAACATCAGGGCCAGGCTCTGGCTAGAGTTCCGCTTTTATAAACACATTGGAGACGTAGACACTTTTAAACAACGTTGGTGTTTTAATAATGTTGTATGCTCAGTGGAAAAGAATGAATTGGTGTTTGCTCCTGTTTTTATGGCATGAAATATAATTTTGCTTTGTTTGTTTTGTTTTGGTTTTTTTGTTGCTTTGTCTTGGTTTTTTTTAACAAAGGAAGGAAATCTGTGACCTCTTTTTAACACATTGACAAGTTGTTGAAATATGTAAAATAAATTGTTTTTCAAAAAAATCTCACCTTTTCCCCCCCCGCAACACAGGAAGAAAAATGTTTAACTCAAATAACCAACAGTATACAAAACAAATGTAACATACACACTAACCCAAAGAGCCCACGCTCTGGGACTACCTTTTAACTAACAATATCTCTCTCTCTCTCTCTCTCTCTCTCTCCCATCAGAGCTGCAGAACCCCCCTCAAAGATCTACAATGACAGGTCTTTATAGACCTGCACCAGCTGCATATTTTAATATATTTCCTAACTGGACGATGTAGACATGGGTAGGCAGATTATCACAATATCCCGAGTCAGATTAGGTGAGAGATACATCGAAGAGAGTCCTTACTCAAAAACAAGACCAGACAAAGTGACCGCGTGAGGATCGTGCTTTTGTGCTGATGAATTAATGGCGTGCAGGTGCGGCCGATTAGAACTCGGGTGACAGCGATCTCTGAATATGTGGTGGTGGAGCCTGGTTGGTCCCTGACAGGTATCAGTATGCTAACTTCTGTTAACTAGTGAATATTGTACTTATATTTGCCATGTAGCCAGAAACATTACCTCTTAATGAATGTTGTGTAATTAGACATGAATAATGCGAACCAGAGCTGACTGAACATAGAGCTAATGTGTCAGGGGTCAAGGTTGAGTAAAGCCACCTGTTTTGGTGAGTTATGCTGCCCCCCGCTGGCCTTCATAGGAATGTGCAGGTACCTATTGCGGTCACACAGGACAGTGACAGTAGACACCTGTCTCGACATTTAGCAGGGAAGTTTTCAAACCACTGTCTTTTAGGGCAAAAGTGGTGGTCCTCTGCAGACGGTGTGCCGGGCAGAGTAGATGTTGAGAAATATATTTAGAAGAATTATACAATTACAAACAGTTATAATGGAAAACTTTTTTTCCACTAATCAGATGAGTAGCAGCTAGCAAAAGCCTACAGTATGTGTAGCTACAGTAGCTAGCTAACTATCTACCTTTATTTATATTTTTCTATTCTTTTCTATTTCTATTTATTTAAGTTAGTGTTTCCCGACCTCGGCCAGTCGGTTTCTCCCTCAAAGTTGGAAACCGACAGTGTAGCGGCCTTCCTTTAGTGTGCACCTGCTGCAATCGTGACATCAATAAATGGACACAAACAAGGAGTTTGCATAAATGCTTTTCAATATATGTTATCTCAAATTAAATAATTATTATCTGTAAAGGGAAAATGATATGTAACCCTTTTAAATGCTTCATTTGTATAACCAGTTTATTAGTTGCCAGTGCTTGGATCACAAAGGCCCTGACATAAGAACTGATGTCTCCCACTTGGATTAGATGTTTCCAGCGTCATAGCTGTAGAGATTGAACAAAGTGTTTGTTATGTCTATGACCACATTTGTTCTCGCATGTAAGGACACGGTCAAAGAACTGACGTGTCTTACATGGATAAGATGTTCCCAGTACCCTGGCTGTAGAGACTCAACAAGATGGTCAAAGGTTTCTGTTCACGCCACCGATATCTAAACTTAGGTATAAAAACTGCCATTTCTCTTGGAATGTAAACCATAGATCTTGGTTGAGCATCACCCAGGTTAGTAATACTTGACCATACAGCATCATGTTTTTAAACCCAGTTCCAAAATCTGTGCCTGGAGTTGTTCCACAAGGTACCTGCCTGGTCAGTCATGGGGGCAGCTGAATCGCCCTCATCATCGCTGGACCAGGCCGTTGGAGCAGCTGCATATGTCACTTTCCCTAGCCCTGCATGTAGACCATATCTATCCAACAGTACAACAACCTTCCTGCCCCCACTTTGCCCGGCTACATATATGGTCATGATATTTGACACATAGGAGCTGTTGTATCATCTTCTCGTGAGAGTCTTTCTGATGAGAGAGTCAGATAGATAAAGTCAAGTTAGAGAATAAAGAAGAAAATAGTTAAAACTGGAAAGAATTAAACCACAACACTACCACGGTGGCACTATTAAACTACATCATTGATATAACCTGTTCCTATACAATAAACAGTATAAAACATCCCCAAGGCACCAACACAGATGTAAACAGTATAAACTCCGCTGCAGCCACAAACAGACATAATACAGCAAAGGAGACGCTGCCTAGTTTTTAGACACAAAATTGTGGACCCACTTTGGTAAGTTTCTTGGCAACATATGGTGCTTACATTTTCTCATTTGTGGAGAATTCAGTGAGTTTGTTGTACTCATTCATCTGAACGTTGTTCTGTTAGTTTTGAGCATCAGCAAGACCTCTTCAATCTGGTCTAGGCATGATTACTTGACTCTTTATTCTCATTACATAATATGACCAGTCCACTGTACCTCTCTGGTCCCAGCTTAACCAGTCACAGGTTTCTCTGTCTCATTGTGCCAATCTCGTCATTTAAGGTGCCCTTTTAGTCTTTTTGGAACAAATCAATGAAAAACCACACTGAACTCACAACACTGCAGTCCCCTTCTGAAAGGACAGAAGACAAAATTAAAGCCATCTTAGATGATCCTTCTCACCCTGTGTATAACAAACTGTGGCAAATTGGATGCTTGTAGCAGAAAGAAGGATGAAGGACAACACTAAAGCCTGGGAGTTATTCCTATCACGGGTCGAGGGTCTATGGATAGAATATTTGGTTTGCAGTATTGATTGTGAATCTTTTGAGTATAAGTAGACATTTATGCAAAAGAAACTCCCTTCAGGCATTCCTGATATATCACGTTCACGTCATGCGAGAAATGTGAGTAGTGTTGAAAAAGCTCCAGGAAGCAACCCAAAATTCGTAAATTTGGCTTTTTTTGAGTTAAGTTTTTATTACCAGTGGATTTTAAAGTAGCAGTTTGATTAGCAGTGATAAATGGTGATAGTATATTCAACAGTGAAAACCAAAAGAAATGACAGAACAATGAATTCAAAATAATAACAAAAAAAAACATAGACCCATTCTGTCACTAAGGGAGCTCTTGTGGAGGACTTGGACGCAAAGTTGAGGTTCAGCTGACGCTTTTATTTCCCAACAAAAAACACAGGGAAGTCCCTGGGAACAAAAAATGTCTCTGAAGAGAGATGAACGAGGAAATGCTCTGGTAAAACTGACCAAGAGCTGAATAGTCAACAAATGCAAAACCCAAATCTCTCTTACAGAGGAAATAACAAAACAATCAATCACAAAAAAGGCTCAAAACTAAATCTAGGAGCTGTGGAGCCATAAACGGCACACGGCCAACTAAGGAGTCCACAACGTGGCTCGGGACAAACAAAACTACGACCTGGGCTCAATTCTTTCATGAGATGAGTGTGCAAGGCGAAAGCACATGACACACTGGCACAGGACAAGGGGAGACGAAGACTATAAGTACACATGAGGGTGTGAGAACAGGTGAACACAATCAGGAATCAGGAAAGAAAATCAGACTGGTGACACATGAGGAAGGGCAAGAGTTAATTTCCAAAATAAAACAGGAAGTCACAAAACAACCATGGAGACAGGACAAAAACACAAATTGACATACAGGTCTGACACCATTCACCTCATTTATTCTTCAGTCTGTCATCCACTGGTTTCAAGGACGGATCTTCAGAGAAAACTGAGGCGGCAAACCCTGTTGTTTTAAAAACTAGATTGAAAATAAAAACAAAGTTGATATTGAGTAAAATAATGTGTATTTTAAGTAGAGAGTAGTCAAGACTCACCTCCGTCAACAAATCCTGGATGTTTAAGTCTGATAGCAGAATGAATGATTTTAATCGAATTTTCAACCCAACGACATAAACTGTCGATGCAGAAACACAAAGCAAAACAAATTGTGATAAAATTAATAGTTTTCAAGGTTTTTTTTGGCAACAGCTAAAGTGGATCCAAATAAATATAAGATGAAAATATATATTTAATAAAAAATAAAATGCATTTACTTACGAGGCCCTTTTGTTGTAGGACAAGTAGTCAAGTTTGGGCAAGATGGTGTTTGTTTACAAGGAAAGAGAAGAACTTAAGATGAATTGATGTTTTGTTTACCTTAGAAATCTGATGTATACATTCTTCTACATTAAAATATAATAATTCAGTATCAAAACTTTAGTTTCATGATGTACGCACCGAAAAAAATTATACGCACTTTACAATTTATGATTAAAAGACTAAAATGTAATTAACGGCATTAACCATGGGTAGGCAACTAAATTATTACCGTGTAAATGTGTATTTAATCCTCAAGTGTACTGCCGTTTGTTCAACAGAGCAACAATTTTATGGCAAGTTAAAAAAAACATTGATTAAGGTGCATTTCTTACCAGTGACTGCAACAGTGTTGACTCCACTGCTTCTGACACTCTCAAACACAGAGAACAGAGTGAATGTGTATTTAGTTCCAGCAGTGAGAGATGAGACTGTGTGATTCACTGGTCCGTCTCCTACTGGTTCACTGATGTTTCTCTCCGTCCCATTAAACTTGAGAACAAAGCTGACATTGGTGTTCACTTGATTCCACTGCAGAGTGATACTTGTCTCATTCTGTCCTATTGATTTGAAGCTGTCTGTGTTTGGAGGAGCTGAAACACAAAGGACAACTAATAAGACAACTAATAAGACAGTATCAATGAATAGGACAACCTCCATGGAAGCGGTAACACTATGCAGATAACTTCTATTTTGAAATCTGTGAGAAGAAATCAGACGCACTACTTGTGTAGCAAATGAATGGGAGGCTGAGAGAGCAATCTTTTTGTGACCACCGTCCTAAGTCATTGAACGCTGTAGAGACACATCTCTCTCCGTTAAAGCTCGGTTGCCAAGCTGCCCAGTGTCGAAACAGGGATGTGCTTCCATCAGACCACTGTTTTTCCCGGTGTAGACTGATCCAAACCGACACATCGGTGAGACTTTTGATGATGTCATTCTCCGTCTGATTTCTGATACTGAGAAAGAAACATCAGCATGATCGTAATCAAACCTTATGACTTGTGACAACAAAAAGGAATTTTTAGTCATATAGTTAAAGATTATTTTAACTTTGAGGTTAATCAAAAAAGAAAACAAGAGAAACACTAAAAAAATGAACAGACAAGGGAAGAGAAGGATTAAAAGAGTACTGTACCTAGCTAGATCCACATAATTCTCCCTGCAGAATCTCTGAGCTTCAATCCAATTCGATAACATGTCAACCTTAACAAAGGATGGTGTGTAATTTATTGTACCTGGATATATATGGATAAAGGGAAGTTATGAACAATAACGGGATGGAATCTACTCAATGTATGTCCCCTCACAAATACAATAAATAGTCATAATTGCCAGATAGTGAAATCATGTTCAGAAAAGATTAAACAAGAATTACCGTTGTAGCACACAAAGTGTAGTTGGAAATTGCAGGGTACGTCATTCCAAAAGAAAGATGCATCAGAAATCTCCACACAGAGCTCTGAACCTCCTGAATTGTTTGGCTCACCAACTTTCCAGTCTCTAAAGTCTGTCCCTGCTTCGGCATAAAAGCTGTGGTCACTCAGGGACCATCCCCAGCTGTTCACCAAGTCGTCATGGAGACCTATCCAAGCACCACCTGTCCAAAGATGTTAATTTACAAATGTTGAATTGAAATAAAACGTAAATTATTGTCTTTAATATCACTTCAACAATGTTGATGTTGTCTATTATAAATTGAGTTTTGCCACAGTCACATTCCACATTATCGTATTTTTGCCAGACTGATATACTGTGTGATACCGATATTGAGCACATGCCTGTGTAAGTAGATGTGGTCCCGATAATGGCACTGATGTCAGCTGTTGTTTCTGCGGTGGCCAGATCCGTGTAGTTCTGTCTGCAGACACTCTGCGCTTCCCTCCAGTTCAGGGGCGTGCTCACAAAGGTGTACAGACGAGTTCGTGCGGAGATAACGTACACCAGTGCTCCTAAAACAAAGCAGATTCAGTGTTTTAATAAAACTTCCAACTCCAGATGTTCAAATCAAGAGGTTCTGTCATCCTGATAGTCAATACTTTATTCTCCTTATGTTGGTCTGCTATCTGCAAAACAAACCTAATAAACCTTAAAAAAAATATATATATATGTACAGTAATACATATATTATAGAAAACCAACGTATTAATTAACAAACATTAAAACAGCAATTGTAGTTATTCTTGAAATTTTCTGTTATACATTTATACATTTTTTTCTCCCTTATGTAATGCATAAATATCAATATGCAACACTGAGAATGTTTTTTGTTAGAAAGATAGACAGAAAAATCAAACAAGAGGCACCAACCTGTGAGCACAAATCTGATCAGCCAATAATCCATGAGGTAAACCTTTGAAAAAAAAAACAAGAATTTGAATAAATATGTGTCAGCCAACTCAGTTGATCTTTCCTTTGAGAAACATGTGAATATTTGATGCCAAATACCTTGCAGGATAAGGTTTTATCTTTTCATCCATAGACCATTGTTTCCTTTACCTCTTATGATAGATGGCGTAGTCCTCTAACCTGCATGTGCACTCTGCTGCTTGTAGAGAAGCCAAGCCCTTTCGATGTCCTCCTGTAGTCTGCAGCTATTACAATGGTGACCTTGGTTGAGAAATCAGGAAGTAAAAACTAAACCTAAAAACCTGTTGTGTTAATGATTGTTTAGATTATTGATTGGTGTTTAAACAATAGCTGGAACTCGTGATCGTCAACATTTTTTGCAAAACTACTTCCTCTTTACAAATGTGATGTTCCTGCTTACCAAAAGCTAACATTGTCTTACCAATTCAACCTTTAGGGGTTTATAACTAAAATCATACAAACATTTTATTTCCCACCAAATTATATACACATATATACTAACTGCCTTGTGCACACACAAATATCTTATATAGCTCATATTTCTCAGAGGACAGTGTGCCTGTGCAGACCAGAGACTGGAAGCAGAATCAGAAGCCGCATTCGTGGCTTCACGGAAAATCTGAATTATGAGATAACATATTGAAATTACAGCTATAAATGGTAAAAGAGCGAGTCAACCTTTTCTCTGAACAGAAGAGTTTATTGGGACATTTCTTGAGATGGCTGTCACGGTGAAAAACTGTAAAGCATTATTATAGCATTATGTGTCATAGTGACCAGTCACAGCAAGACACGATAATTTTATGAATAAACTATATTTGTTAAATAATACTGGATTCATGGTGCACGTGTAATAAATATGATGTGTAGAAAATGTTATGTTTATAACCAGCAATTAATGCAAATAATTAGCGCCAGCTATCCGAAAAGCTTGTGTTCTGAACACTAAATTAAATGACTAATTTTAACATTTAACATGACATGAAAATGTTAACATAGTTATGGTATAAGTATACTAACCTCTGTTAACTAGTGAATATTGTACTTACATTTGTTGTGTAGCCAGGAACACTACCTCCAAATAGGGCTGCAACTAACGATGATTTTGATATCGATTAATCGGTTGATTAATTCTTCAATTAATCGATGAATCGGATTATAAAAAAAACAGCATTAAAAAGTTTTAATTTGCGCCGACTCACAACAACTGCCGGCGCTGCTGGCTGCTCTTTCCTTTACGTCGGCTCGGCGCTCTTATGTTTTATTTTTGCTCCGCGCGCATCTCCCCAACTCATTGAGTGATGTAATAATCGGGCAACACATTGAATCGATAATGAAATTATCAACGCTTTTGATAATCAAATTTTATCGATTTCATCGATTCGTTGTTGCAGCCCTACCTCCAAATGAACAGGATGATAATGTGTAATTCGGCATGGATAATGGCAACCACAGTTGACTGAATTCAACCTTAAGCTAAGTGTCAACGGTCAAGTTTGAGGATCGCCACCTGTTTTGTGATGGAGTTATTCTGCCCCCTGCTGGCCTTCATAGGAATGTACAGGTCCCTATTCCAGTCACACAGGACAGAGACAGTAGTGTAGGATATAAGAAATAAACTAACAACCCGGTTCATAAATTAATAAATTGCATTTACTGTACACCAGAATACATCTATCTGATGAACTGTATAATCAATAAAGTAATGAGAATATTGTAAAACCACTATCATTTTGAATCAATAGAATAATACCAATGTACAGCTATGATTGTATTTAATTTAATGTAATCAACTGGAATTCATGCATGTAATACTTGATAGCACCACAATTGATATTGACTGAGAGACATTCGAAATCCGAGTTACATTGAACTCACCAGAAGACCACTCCCAGGGATGTGGACACTAACTTTCACACTTTTACTGCTCTGTATACACTGTCGTCATTAATGATACTATTAGATTCACCTGTGCTTTTCAAATCTCAACCAGCGTATTGTGCCCTTCATGTTTTTTATATTTCCACAATACACCAAACTAGTAAGTCTGGGCTTGTCAAATGGCAAACAGCATCCCTGTTGGCGTTTGGGTTTTTGATTTACCGTCTCTGCTCTTAGCCTTCTCAGTGCATTTTGAGAAGGTTTAACTTTATACGTAAAGATCCATTTTTTAGAAATCCAATATATCATAGGTAACAATCAAAACATTCTCCTAACTCCCGTCCCAGCAGCAGAAAGCACGTTAGTACGTATGGTGCATCTCTATTATAATTTTCGACGAATGAACCCAACACCAAAGCGGCCTCTTTCTCCGTCTCACCCACGTTATTATGCTTAGTGAGCATGTAGTTCTATAAAACACGTGCTTTCTCTGAGCACGTGAACGCAGCCCGACAGCCCCGGCGTTGTAGAGGGGAGGAGCGAGGCGAAAGGACGAGGTGGAGGCGGACGGAGGAGAAGCACGAAGGAGATCTCCGGTCTCTGAGCATCCAGACGGGGGGGAGCATCTCGTCCTCCCTCGCTCCACAGGGGCCGGACTGGAAGCGGAGGGAGGCAGCGGGGCCAAGGACAGGATGGAGGACAAGAAGCAGTTTCTTTGTGGGGTGGTGGAAGGTAAGCTCCTGTTAGATCATGTGATCTCTTTTTCTTACCTAGGGGACACGATGTTTGAACAGATCACCGTTTGACCTACATACGTCTGCAGGCGAAGAACGGTCATGCGCGTGTGCACGTCGAGGTGGATGGGATGTAAAAGGTATTTTTTGCTATGATGTGTTGATGAGCAGTCAGGCTTGAAGTGGAGATGAAAAAGGGAATGGGGAATGGAAATGCCGTGACAGGATAGTCGTGGAGGTGATGATGATGATGATGAGGCATGAAGGAAGTCATGTTGCGAGCCCCAATCAAAACATAATACAGATGTTGATGAAGATCAACGCTTGACGAGGTGATGTGTTTTCAGCATTATATATTATTTGATTGATTTGATCAGAAAGATTCCTTGTCAGCACTGTTGTCAATGGTGACAACAAAGCCAAATAATGCTCAGAAAAAGTGCCTTTTTAATTGCTAATTATTGGAATAATGAAGTTCATGAAATGCCAGACAAGAGGAAAAAAACATTCACATTTGAACTTAGCAGACCTTAAGGTTTTAATCTTAAATATATAGCTTTTGATGGAAAAATGTTTCAATTAAATGGTTTTACTCTCTTTGTCCATTGTCTAACTCCATGATTCCCATAACAGATATTTTCACAACCTTTTGCGATGTGGGTTTGTTGAAATATATGTGACAGTGATACAGCTCTAACACACACACACACACCTTTTGTGTGTGTTCCTTAGTCCAATGTGGTGGCATCCAACAGATATAGGTCTCACTCAGCAGCCTCGCACACATGCGCTCAGAAGTACAGACGCCACATAAGACACACACACATGCGCACATACATTGCCGACCTATTCAAACACACAATGGAGGGAGAGGGACACTGGATACGCTACCATTTCTAAATATAGAAAATTGTGATGAGGAGTGTAGCTGGAGATGAATTATGTCTCGGCCAAACGCAGAGCGGATGTGAGCAAGCGAGCACAGGAAGAGCGTGCACCGTTTCATGTGCCCAAACATTCAGAACGGTGTCCAGTCGCTGATAGCAGTCCACTTTGTGAATAATTGGAGCAGAGCTTGGCCTTGAAAAGAATGGTTCATTCACAGATACGAAACAAGCTCTGGAATGCCACGGTGCATATTCAGTAATCATCCATATGTGCGTACGGATATAAAGAATATATATGTATATTTATTTCTCCGCCAGGTTTCTATGGGCGGCCTTGGACTATGGATCAGAGGAAGGTTCTCTTCCAATGGTAAGTCTGTAAACTGAACAAAACCATGCATGTACGGTTCTGCATGTGAGGACAGGTGCCCATGTGTCAATAAACCTGTTTGTTTCTAACATCAACGCCGTGACAGCTCGGTAGTAACTGATAGATGGATAGATATATACTTGTGAACTGACCTCAAGCCTGTGGGCTGAATCCAGTTGCACGCCTCTACATCAGCATCAGGCAGACTGATGCCAATTGACTCCACGGCAAAGGGCACATTCATCCTCCGTCCGGAGGCTCAGCCCTGGATGCTACAGAGGGGAGAGGGAGGAGATGCTGCATTTAGTTGAAGTGGAAGAAGAAAGAGGTTCAAATAGGTTCAAAAGTTCCTTGAATATGAACTGATAAACAAATGAAGGATGTGGCATTCCCTTTTCATGTACATTTATTTTACCCCATGTCAACTTGTAGTTAGTATGGGACCAATTCATTGTTGATGACACACTGATCTTGCAAAGTGAAGCGATGTAAGTCCCTTTTGGGAACTGTGACACAGTTTTGTAGCCAATAGCGACAAACCGACTACATCCCTTGAGATGAGTTGTTCCCTCTGCTCTCTGCTTTTCTCTGCTCTTGGAGATACAAGCCAAATCATTGTATAATATATATCTGTTATAGGAACATACAATTAGTAACTCAAACAAAGTCACTGTAATAGCCCATTAAGATGTGTGTGTGGGATCCAGGATTATTAATAGGTCGTCCTTTTTGGAATCAAGAGTGTTCACACAATGAGTTGCATAAGTTTGGTTGACTAGTGTGAATGTGTGTACAGCATGAGCGTGTGTGTGTTTATCTGATTTGTGTGTTTGAAAGAGGTAGGCTGCAGCTTTGTGGAGGCGACACCATCTGTTCAGGAAGAGAAGCAAGGAGAGAGTGAGCACACAGGCCGCCCACAAACGACGAGCACGATAAGAGCTGGTCCATGTCCAGAGAGGGCAATAGTCATCTTTGTGTGTGTGTGTGTGTGTGTGTGTGTGTGTGTGTGTGTGTGTGTGTGTGTGCGTGATGTAGTTATTATTTCACTTCTAGTACTTTACCTTATTTATGATTCAGCAGATCATTTCCTGTAACTGAGGCGGTCATGGGCACCACAATCAATACAGTAGATTTATTTCCTTGCTTTCTGTTTTTCTTTTTTCTTCCTTGTGTCCATTGCCACTTCTCCTCACTGTCTCCAGGGTTCGTACTTACATTACCAAGCCAAGCATATGGCTTGATATATGTATGTATATATACATACATATTTAGCTATGTGTGTTCTATGTACAGTACCAGTCAAAAGTTTGGACACACCTTCTCTTTCACTTGAATCAGGCGCAGAGGAATAAAACAAATATAAAACCACTTCTCTCCAGCGGGGGATTGGTGTGCGGTCAACCGAATAAAAAGTAACTTACAAGGAAGTTACACTAGTTGCAGTTCATGCGGGTTGTCAAAGAAGCTTTGTCCAAACTTTTGACTAGTACTGTATATGTGGTGGTTAAACAAAGCTCCTGTCTACAGTAGTTGCTGAAAT